TTTTTTTTTTTTTTTTTTTTTTTTTTTTTTTTTTTTTTTTTTTTTTTTTTTTTTTTTTTTTTTTTTTTTTTTTGCTTTTTCATGTCGATTTTCGCTGCATTATTTAATTATCACTGCGTACTATGCAAAAACATGGTTTTCACACTGTTCTATTCAATGTTTTCACAATTCATTCAACCACAAGTCCACAATTCATTTCGGCATGCCGTCGATCCGTAACGTATGATAGCACCGATTATGTTACATGTTTGATGAAATACTTGGGAGTAACTACTAATCTGGGTTCCGTGAGATTTTTGCACTCTCATGTGCAACTCTGCTGCATTTTGCAAGATATTCTCAGTTTCAGGCTTCATTTTCCTCCCTCTAAATTCGAACCAAAAACACTCTATATCTTTTTATGTTAGCTAATATAACCAAGAAAAGAGTTCTTTGTTAGAAACTAGTTATTTTATCATAATCATGTAAAGTCTGAGAATTATTTTGCATTTTGTTAATGTATATAGTGCTTAAAAAGTACTTTAAAGGTGAAGGTTTTTATTTTTTTACTGAGAGATTTGGCTACGCACCCTGACAGTTAATGAAGCCTTACCAGGGATCTGTTTAGAACGGACCCTTCACAAAATATCCTTTCATAAAAATGGACCCTTCACAAAATATTATAACTTAAAAATGGACCCTTCACAAGATAATTTATCTTTTAATCGAACCCTTCACAAATTTGTTTATCATTATTGTTTTGTTAATCGAATAAACTTTTCCCAGGAAGTGGGGGGAGAAAGACAGATGTAAACGAAATAAATTTTTTCTTCCTTTATTCGTCCGAAATGAATATTTTGTGTTCCGCAGTATAGGCTAAATACCAAATATTTATATGTTGCATCGCTAATTTAGTAGCTGGAATTGCTGTTTATTTTTTAAAATTTAATTATTTTAATTATAATTCTACTGTGTTGAGCGTAATCTTGTATGTCTTTACAATTTAAAAACTCCTTGAAAAAGTTTTTTTTGCAATAACGGACCCTATTTTCACAAATTCACAAAAGTCGGACCCTGGTTGAAAGAATGTGACTTAACGTTCATTTTATATTCACAAATTTGGAGTATTTTTTCACAATTTTACAAAAACGGATTTTTCACAAAATGTCTGGACAGACCCCTGCTTACAATTTATGTTATTTAATTTTAAGTGCTTATGTTTGTAAATTATTATCATTGTAGGGCGAGCACTGAGAGGGAAAGCTTTCTACAATGTCCATGGAAAAGTTTATTGTGAAGAAGATTACCTAGTAAGAAAACCTTTTTTATTGCTAAATAAAGTTTTATTATGGATTACTGCAGTTATTTAATCATCTTACTTTTTATTTGGTAATATTTTTTACCATATCAATGAAATGTGGGTCTATTAATTTTGTTTAGGTTCTTAATTTCTCTAAATCTGCTATTACATGTTACTGGATTGGTACCAGAATTAAGAGTGAGTGAGTTTAAAGTCTAATTCAAACTTATTAGTTATCAACTCTACTAGATTCACTTGTAAACTTAGACCAGAAATTTAAATTTACAATTAGTAGCCAGTGGCCGGTAGTCTCTAGTGAATTGGTGTCCACTTTTTCCTCACACCTAATGAGTTAGTGACTGATATCGATTGGTTTTTACAAACTTTTTTTTACTTGTAGTAAATTATATTTCTTTAAAAAAAATCTTATTAAAAATAATCTATGACTGTAAAACGTTAATTCAACAATAAAAGTAATATAAATATGTGACAAAAATTAGTTAAACATATTGACTTAAAAGGATAAAACTTAATAGCTTAAAAAGGATGAAAGAACTCTATTTAAAAAATATTTGGGATGGCAAATTACATTAAATGTATACATTACAACTTTGAAATTTATAAATTGTTAAAGAAATTTGTTTCCACCACCAATTGATCGATTCTGAAAAATCTAAATTTTGAATCTCTTTCATTCATGTATTTTTTATCATTAAACTATTTTCAAAAAAAGCAATGAAAAAAGTAGCCAGTTATATATTTAAGTCACCACTTTATTTATTTTTTTTGTTTTGTTTACTCCTCATATAATTAATGATGAATGGTTATTTATTGTCTACCTAAACTACTATCAGTTTTTATTTATTTTTTTGTTATCTGAAATTTTTATGGGCTTTTGTATATTTTTTAAAATTTTCTTGCATTGGGGAAGTCTCTACAAAAAACAGTTTGCAGGGTAGAATTTTTATTAAGCTTATTACTCACTTAAATTTAATGAAGTGAACCTAATTTTAAAGTTTTTCCTCTTAGAAATTTTAAAACTTGTTGTTGTGAAAACTTACTATTTTCAAAATCAATTTAATTACCTGTTTTAACCATATGAAATGAATAAAATTTTTATAATTCTAAAATTAAGAATATTATTGAAACATTTTATAACATAGTCTATTTAATGTCTAATGAGCAATATTATAGTCAATTTAAATCTATTGCTGTTAGAGTAATTGAGTTAATGTATTTTATTTTTCTTAAATTTACTTCTTTACAATATGTTAGATATTATGCAATGTTTATCTTGAAATTTTTATCCTTACTTAAACCTTTGTTTTTCCCTCTTTTCTGTGTTGGCAGCTACGATATTATATATTGTCTAGAAAATTTTTGAGTTATTTGCTTTTTTTTAATATTTTAAGACAATATACTCAATAATTATGATATATTCCAGTATATAAATGATTTAAAACACCTGATATTAATGTTTTGGAACACCAATGTGTACAGAAAATAACTATTCTAGCACGAACTTTTAAGGACGCCCTGTTTTTTTATCAGCACTACATTTTTGAAGTGGGCATTATGGATTATGGAAGTTTTTATTATTATTTATTATTTCCTAACTAAATGACTGTTTGTGATGTCTAATAATGCTCTTCACATGCTGTTGTTTTTTTTCCTGCAAAAATAAATAAAAAATTCTTCTACTAAAATTCTTAAGCCTCTAATAATATTCGTCACATGTTTTCTTCCTGCAAAAATAAATAGAAATTCTTCAAACTTTTTTCAGTAAACGAGTCCGCGGTGTGCCTTAAATATAAGTAATGCATAAATATGTGCCTTAAAAATAAATAAAAAATTCTTCTGCTAAAATTCTTAAACGTCTAATAATGTTCTTCACAAGTTTTTTTTTCCTGCAAAAATAAATAAAAAATTCTTTTTTTTTATGTTGTAAAAGTTGTGTTTTGAGGAAAAATTTCTGTATTAATAACTTCCCCAAACATGTCATACTTAGTTAAGCAAGTGTTATTGTACCTTTTAAACACAATTCTTTTTCATTAAAAAGGTTTAAATATGTATTATACTTTATGTCAAATAGTTTTTCCCTGCATCTATATGATTATGAAAAATATTTATTTGCAAATGGCTGAAATGTAACTATTGTGTTTTTACTATTCAGGTCTGGTCTTTATGGATTGAAGGTACATTTTATCAAACAACCCCAACTTTTTCTTCTTTTATTTTTTGTTATTTGATTTATCTAATTGTAAATTAATCTTAAAATTTTCATTCTTTTATCTCTTAACCTCAAATTTTTTTTTAGGATTGTTAAATAATAAAAAAGTTCTACATTCTTTCTTCTTTAAAAAAAATAAAAATAGCTACCCTTAAAACCAAGCTGGGCAGCTGCAATATCAATTGAAATTGAATTAGTTCAGATTTGAGGTGCAGATGCATCATTGCTAAATTAATAATTTAGTTTTAATTAAGATTATTGAAATCATTGTTATTACTATAATATTAAAATTAATTTGCATAATTGTTACATAAAGGTATTTTGGAAATGGCAAGTAATTTATTTTATTCTTCACTGCCTAGTCTTCAAATTTTTTAATTTGTCTCAATTTTATTATTAATAATAATGTGTATTCTATAGCTTTTTCTTTCATTTTTTTTGTAATAGCAGTTAATTTTTTGTTATAGTATTCTGGGTTTCAACAAACAGCAGAGAAATGTGGTGTTTGTGGTCATCTGATTATGGACATGGTATGTTTTTAAACAATATTCTATTATGTTTTATTTTTCAGAAATTTTAGATTGTTTGAATAAAATTATTTTGATTTCTTGCTACAAAAATTCAATTTTATAATTTTCTGATTTAATTTCTTTTTTTTCTCTTTTTTTTTTAAGTAGAAATCTTTCCACTTACAAAAAATGTTAACCAGTATCCTATTTATCTTTTCATGCATTTCTTGTCTTATTCTTACTTTTTTGCAAATTTTAAATCCATTAACTAATAGTTTAATAATTCCAACTGAATCTAATAACTTGAATATTTTCATAACAATATTAAACATTGTTTATTTCCATTTGATGCCAGATACTGCAAGCTATGGGAAAATCTTATCATCCAGGATGCTTTAGATGTTGCATTTGTAATGAATGCCTGGATGGCGTACCTTTTACAATAGATATGAAGAATAAAATATACTGTGTTCACGATTACCACAAGTAAATTTTCATTTTTGTTTCTTTTTTTATAGTACATTTATCAGTAAAAATGGATGCATTATTTGAAAATATTTCATAATATATTTGTTAATACATCTGTTTTAGTTCAACTAACTGTAATTTATCTGTGTAAGCCTTGTATAGCGAGTATACATACATAGCTGCCAACTTTACTGGTTTTTCCAGTAGACTAATGGATTTTTGCCAGTTCCTCCTGGTCTACTGGTTTCATAAAACATCCCTATTGAAATAGAATTTTTGCACAGGTTAATGCTTTCTTGAATATTTAAATAAGTGTTGCTAATATATAATGAAGCAAGCTTCATTTATTTAAAACAGTTAAAGTTTTTTTTTTTTCGAAAATATTAAGTTTAATTTTATTTAGAACTCCAAGTGGAAAAAATTTCAGCTTTTCTATTTTGATGACTATAAAATTCCCAACAAGTAAAATAATTAGTACACTTTGCTAATACAGTAGAGCGCCGGTTATCCAAACCCTTATTATCCAAATACGTTTTTTTTTATATTTTTTTTAAAGTTTTTTAAACTTATCAGCAATTTTTATAAATTTAAAAGAATAAATAATATCCACTACATCATAGACCATATTTAATGTGCAACCTTAAGAAATCACTGAAACCTTAAAACGTCTTCATAGAAAGCAAATTTTATGGAAGATTTTATTATCGGATGAACAAAATGAGGGGAATTTTCGAGACTCAATCAAAGCTATTGATTTAAAAGAATGCTGCATGAGGATAGCTAATGCCTGGAATTTAGTAAAAACATTGACGCTAAGAAAATCTTGGAATAAAATTCTTAACAGAAAAACAAACAAAACTTAAGTTTCTGAACCAGTTGATCTTTCGGATGAAAAAATGCCAGGTTATACAGCAGAAGAAATAGAAGACTGGCGGCGAGACACTGAAAACGACACAGAATTTCAAATTTTAAATGGTGATGAAATTGTTGCTGAAATTTTGAATGAAAATTGAAACTCCACAGACAAAGAGGAAGAAGTATGTGATTAAGTTCAAGATAGTGGACTTCTATATGAGATCTCATATAGAAGCATGCAATTCATTAAATATTGCAATGAATGGGCTAGAACGTCAAAATGATGTCGATCCAGTTCAGTTGATTTATTTAAAATGAATAAGGGATATGGTTGCTCAAAAAAGAGCATCTTCTTTGAAAAAATAGTCTTTGCTTGATTTTTTTGTAATGGAAAATAAAGAAAAATCAGTAATCGAGATAAAAGCTGAAAAATGATTTAAAAAAATTCAAAATGTAAAAAAAATAAAAAAAAAATAAATAAAAATTGGAGACATTTTTGTTTAAATATGCCAGAGCTATTTCAGATAGTGCTGCCATTCCGAAGCCTGAAAAAAGTTTGAAGGGAAGTTAGTGCATAAATATTCATTTAAACTAGATTTTAAACAACTTTCTAATTATCCGAACTTTTCATTATCCGAACCACATTCGGTCCCGAGCAGTTCGGATAATCGGCGCTCTACTGTATTATCATGAAATTTATATTTTGTAAAATCTACTGGATTTTTTTTCTATGTATATTATAAGCTATGCATATATACCTTTAGTTGAAGTTTTAAAACAAACACTTATTTTGAATATTTTCTTTCATTTTATATATTTTTTGTTTTATCTCTTGAAGTATTTAAGAAATTTAAATTTTTTTTCACTCTCAATTAAGAAACTCATTTATTGAATGTAAATTCTAAGTAGAAAATTTTATAGTTATTTATTACTTTTTATCTATTGTTTTAAACTATGTAGTATTAACTGAATAATAAATTTGAATGAAATATGGTAAATAAATTCGGAACAATAAAATTTCAAAAAAGTTCTATTTTGTCAGTAAAAAAAGTTCCAACTTTTTGTTGAACATCAAAGCAAATTTCAAAAACATTTAATACTACTTTTTTGAAATGTTTTTAAGATAAAATCTTACAATAAATTAAAAAAATATTTATATTTACCTACTTACATATTTATTACATTTAAAAAAAAAATAATACCAAGAATAATATTGTTTCTAAAGAAACTGGATTTTCAATTCTTTCTCTGTTGTAGTTATACACAAATAACACAATTTTAAAAAGATTTAATGTTCTTACAAAATATTATTGCAATTTTAGCATAAAAATTTGTTATGCATTGTTATCTTTTAGCAGTTTACTGCAAAAAATAACATTTTGTTAATTCATTACATTTCAATCAAGGCCCAATTAAAGTATACTTTAAAAAAAATAAAAAAATTACTATTTTATTTCAAATATATTTAAAATGTGTATGTTGCTGTACTCTGTAATTACTGTAAAAATTAACTCCAAAATTACTTTTAAAACTTTTAAATATTTTAATTTCAGAATGTTTGCTCCTAAATGTGCTGCTTGTGGACAAGCCATTACTCCTGTTGAGGTACATCTTCTCTTTGCTTGTTTTGTTTACATTTTTTTATGTATGTTTAAGTCCTGTAATATTGACATTTAATCTTTATAGGGCACTGATGAAACTGTGCGAGTTGTATCTATGGATAGAGATTTTCATGTTGATTGCTATGTTTGTGAAGTATGTAACACACCATTCATTACCTTCTCGTTAATTAAATTCTTTAAATCCTTTAAAAAATAACAATACTACATTCAATTAAAAAATAAAATTGGAGTCATGATTTTTAAGCTTTGAGATGATTATTGTCTGTTAATAATACACACTACTGTAAAATATTACCTGATAAAATGTTAAAATTAAATTTTAACTGCACTAACAATGGTTTACTTAAATTCAAAATTGTCTTGGTTGTATTCATTAAAACCTGAGTAATTCTATATGAAATTTTACATTAGTTATTAAATAAACTATTGAAACTAGTAAATAAACTATTAAACTAATCAAAACTAATAAATATATTTTTTTAAACTAATTAGAAGAATATTTTTTTCCTTCTTTTTTTTATATATTTATTGCAAGAATTATTTTAAGTTACTTTTAAATTTTTAATGCAGTGATTTAAGGATTTTATTTCAATGTTACTTTAATTGTTACTGTAAAAAAATTGTAAAAAATGTGTCAATTTTGAGCATTCTGGTCACACAATCTGTTAGGGTAGTTTTTATGGGATAAATAATTCGCTCATCTGTAAGCTCCTATATATTTTTTATTGATTTTTGAAAAAGAACTAAGTAAAAAATGTAAATGAAAATATTTTTCAGTGAATGAAGAAAAAATTATTGAGGCTGCAATAATTTAAAATTAAAAAAACTTAAGTAAAAAAAAAAGAAAGAAAAAACTTTAATGACTTCAAATGATTTGATAATTGTTGCACAAAATAATATTTGATAATTTTAAATTTTATTTTATTTATTAATTGTGTGGCGACTTGAATACTGACAAAAAAAAATTCTGATTCATTTGAAATGCACTGTTCTTATAATTCTAATTAGCATAATAAAAAATGTTATTAATATATTCTGGAAAAATTCATTTTTAAGAAGATTTCAAAACATTTAACTATATACAAACTAAATATCTTTAAACT